GCATCTCCCTTGGCGGCATCAGCGGGTCCCATGGAGGCAGAGGCATCTCCCTTGGTGGCATCAGTGGGACCGGTGGAGGCAGAGGCATCTCCAGAGACGTGTCCTTCTCTTTTGGCAGCAGTGGAGGCAGCGGCAGGACCCCTGGAGGAGGCAGGAGTGGCAGCAGCAGCTCCTCTGGCGCTGGGGGCACTGGCGGCATCAGCGGGTCGCATGGAGGCGGAGGGTGGGGCAGAGGCATCTTCATCCCTGTTGGCAGTAGTGGAGGCAGCAGCAGCTCCCCTGGCGGCAGAGGCAGGAGCAACAGCAGTGGTCCCCATGGAGGTGGAGGGAGAGGCAGCATCAGCGGTTCCCATGGAGGTGGAGGCATCTGCCTTGGCGGTATCAACAGTTCCCTTGGAAGTGGAGATAGAGGCAGGGGCAGACGCATCTGCAGAGGCATCTCCTTCTGTGTTGGTAGCAGAGGAGGCAGGAGTGGCAGCAGCAGCTCCCCTGGCGTCGGAGGCAGGAGCAATAGCAGTGGTTCCCATGGAGGTAGAGGCAAAGGTGGCTTCTCTGCCAGCGGCAGTGGAGGCAGCAGCGAGCCGCAGTGGGCTGGGTGCAGAGGGTGGCCCAGGCAGCACTGTACAGCCAGCACACAGCCGTGGGAAGCTGTCCCTACAGAGGTGAGCACCCAGAGCTGTTACAGCAGCTGCTCCCTTCCCCCCTGCACTCCCCCAATCCACCATGGGTGTTGTTGGGCTGTCCATGTCCCGCTGGACTGGTCGGGGATGAGGATGTGAGATCTGCACCCACGGGTGCAGTGGTTGCCCAATCCAGCCTGGTCCCAGTGGGTACCTCCTACATCTCCTGCAGTTTGTTTTTTTCAGCCCTTTGCCTGCAACGGCACAAGGCGGATTCGTGCCTGATCCAGCCTCCGATCTATGCCATGCCTCCTGTCCTGGGCACAGGGCTGCATGTCCACAGGGGCAGATGAATGTGTTCTCATTCTGCGACCATGCCCCAGGCACAGACAGGTCCTGTGCGCTCCAGCTGCCCTTCGCCTCTAGTACTGCCAAAAGGTGTGAGTTGCTGCACAGAGTCAGTGCAGGGCAGGCCTCTTTACCAGGGTGCTCACAAGCTGTGGGTCATTCTGCAGCCTGCAAACAGGTCCATTTTCTTTCTAATAGTGTTAAAACTCTAGCAGTGATTCTCAGCCAGGGGCCCGTAGCACCCAGAGTGCCTTGAGATCTTTTGAAGAGTTCTGTGAGAGGCCACGTAGTGCTAAGTATGCAAACATGGTTCATAAGATAAACTCAAGAGACTTCACAGAGGACCTTGTGGTATCCAAAACATTGATCTGTTGCAGTCTTCCAGAGTTCTTTGCAACGGGAGAGTTGCTTATCTTCTCTAGTCAGAAACATGGGTGAAGACTGCAAGTTGGCATTTTCCAAGGGGTTCCTTGAGTCTCAAAAAGGTTGAATACCCCTGCTTTATAGCAGGGGTGTCAAACTCATCTGTCCCCATGTGCGGCGCAGCACAGCCAGGGGTGTGTAGTGTGTACCCCAGACTGACTAAGTGCAGCACTGCGTGTTGTGCCTGTCCCAACCAGGCTGAACCATTTGTGGCACATGCTTTGGGACCTGCTGTACATGGCACCTGCTCCAGCTAGTCTGAGACCTATGTTGCATGTGACAGAGGCAAGTGCTGCATGTAAGCAGATCCCAGATTAGCTAGAGGAGGCACTGCCATGTGCAATGCAGTCCCAGAGCTATCAGGGTAGGTGCAATGTGTGTGGCATGTTAAGAGTGGGCACCGTATGTGGCAGTCTGGCCAGGGCAGCCACTATGTATAGCGCTTCTAGAATCCACACTACATGCTCCCAGCCAGACTGTGCTGCACATGACGCCCATTCCAGCCGCTCCAGGACGGCCCTTTGTGGGTATACTCAGACCTGGGGACAGGATGGCAGGCTTCATGGGCCATAGGATTAACACCCCTGCTTTATAGTATAATGTGTATAATCCATATGTGGATTAATTTTCTTGCCTGGAAAAATATTGCGAAGCATGGTCTGCCTAACAGGATCCAATTGAAAACCCGGATTTGGAGGGAAATAGCAAGATATTTCGATTGTTTCTGCTGTGCTGTGCTGTGTTAAAAAATGACCCATTTTTGTTCCATGATATTATTGTTTTTATTGAAGTAGTTATTGATTTTTTTTAAGTATTATTATTATTATTATTATTGAAATATTTCAATAAGCATTCCAGTTAAAATATCAAAAAACCTTTTCAAGAACTGAAAGGAACTGGAACATTCGTTTTGCATTAAATAGTTTAGCTTAAAAACAGCATACCACTTTTCAATCAAAAACCTTTCCAGTAAAAAAAAAAAATTGAATGCAGCACCTTCCATAATTTTAGTAACATTTTTTTTACAATTGATATTTTTTTCATAATGTGTTTCTTTTACTTGCATACTGCTACTGACTTATGCATTCTGTTGAGGATTTGGTACTCAGATAGGCCTGACTTTTCATCATATCTAGCTGTTAGAGCCCAGTGGAAAAAGCCAAATATGTGTTTACCATATCAGCATTTGTTTTAGGGCCATAACATTTTTATGTGATTGCCGGTGGGAGGAAGGGCGGTCTATATCAGTGGGGGCCAACCGTTTTGGTAGACATGCCACAAACCAGCCCTGTATGGTTCCTGAATGCCACTCAAGTCCCCTTCCACTTCCTGATCTGCTGCTCTGTTTTCTGCTCCCTGCCATATTTGCCACTGTGCTACCTGCCTGCTCCCTGATCTGCCTCATGCCACCCTTCTGTGCCACTTGTGGCAAGCCTGCTGTAGTTTGTCCAGCCCTGCTCTGTGAGATCAAGAATGAAAGAGATGCCACTCCTTAGTTACTCTTTTAGTGGAAGATTTTCAAATGTTCTCCTTGACTTTCAGTGGAGCTGGAGGCTCAGCTACCTTCTGTTTTATAAAATCTTTTTAAAGTCACAGCTTACACCAGGAAAATGTTTTGAAACCTCTGCCTTAGCTACAGCATATTTCTTTTCCTGCTTTCAAGCCTCAAATGACTTCTTAAAATTTTGAACTGCAGACTTTTGAATGTAAAGAACCTGTTTTTTGAGCAAAAGCATTTCTGTCCTTTATCAGAGGCAGTGACCTAAAACCATAAAAAGAGAATTCCCTTCCTTGTTTCAGATGCGAAAGCTGTGGGGGAGAGGAAGCAAAGTACAGGTGTCCCCGTTGCTTGAAGTACTCTTGCAGGTACGTGATCAATGTTATATCGTTTTTGGTCATCTTTTGTCCTGAAGATGGGAAGTTTTCACTTTTTTTTTTCTTTTTTAAATCCCTTCAGTTTGCCCTGTGTAAAGAAACACAAAGTTGCACTGAATTGTAATGGAGTAAGGGAGAAGACGGCATTTGTCTCCATAAATGAATTTAGTGATTTGAACCTTTTAAGTGGTAAGAATCTTTCTCAAACTATAAATATCACCACCTTTTTAGGTTAGCATTACATGTTTTTTTCCTGTTCCTTGTATATTCAGATTATCGTTTCCTGGAAGATGTAGGACGGCTGGCTGACAGTGCTGCTCGAGATGTGTCTTTGCATAGACGTACAGCTAACAAAAGTGTAAGTCTTAAGTTTGCAGCTTGGTCAGTCTAAAGTATAGGTGGACCTGGATTAGAAACTTGGATTCCACCACTAATATATCCCTTGACCACCAAATGGAGTCATTCCAAATCCGAACTTCGTAGCCGGTCCTTTTCTGTGATGGACTGAAGGTACAAATGCACTTGAATTTTAGGCTTGGAATTCTGTCTCTGCTGCCCTAAGTTAAGGGAAAACTCCACCATTGTATAAGAGAAGTGATCATTCTCCAAAATCTAATTGCTAAAAAGTAATTACTAAAACTATATGTTGTAAAAATAATTGATGTTTATTTTTGCTTTTCTATGATATATAAAAAAAAATTCTTGAAAGTTTTTCTTCAACATTTTTATACAAAATTTTCTCATGTAAATAATGGTTTTAATTGCCAAACAGTTGTTATGCAACTATCCATGAAAGGAAGGGTGATGTTTAGGGAGCACAACAAATTAGATATAAAACTCCAAGGGAGCAAAAAGGAGCTGTAGAAAGAGGAATGCAAAGACAGCCCCTGCTTTATATTACTGTTGTTTTCAAGGATATGGCTACATGAACCTACCTAAGATAAACTAGAGGGTAAACTTCTAGTGCATCAGTTTATCTGGGATAACTGCCTGGGCTTTTTGATTTTATTCTGAAGAATTTACAAATTAGTTTATTCTGCTTTCACTGAGTAGAAGTGTATATGCAGACAATTACCATGGAAGTAGCTGCTGTGCTCAAAGTTTGTCATAGCTTACATAAAGTAACTTGTTTGTCCACACCTGGAATTATAATAACAGAAAAGAAAAAAAAAATAAAGCCAAAATAACACTAAAAGAGACCAAATCAGTATTGTGTTCTAGCCCTTTGCAGGTCACCTTTAAATGTCATTTTGAAACATCTTAGTTGAGAAGAGGCCATGTTGATAGCTAGCTGCAAAATACAATTGAAAAAAAAGTTGGCTTTCTGTTAAGGGCAGACAATTTATAGAGTCATAGGTGAGCACTTTCCAGTATATCACAATGGTGGCAGGAGGTTAAATGCATCCAAGGTGTTGAGATGGTGGGATGCTAGGGGTTATAAGTAGGGAACTACTGAAATCATGATTGTGCGATTTTTTTTTTTTTTTGCGGAAACCATAATTGTGGGCAGGCTCCACACTTTTGGCAAGCTCAGTGGAAAAAAATAGCACCCCCTCCCCCCTCAAGGCTTCTCAGCTTGCCGGTAAATTTCAGGTGGGGGAGATGGAATATAAAAGCTTATACCCGAGCTTTTGGGTATAAATATCCTTCGTCAGGCTGAGGAAGTGATGCTTGCTTGCTAAGAAGAATTTTTCCAAGTATTTCAGTTAGTCTAATAAAAGATATCAGATTTACCCAAAGAACCTTATCTGCCTGATTTTTGAGATTTCTTTTGTTTTGCCTATAAATACAAATTTGCATATATGGTTGATCCTATATTCCAAAGTGTCTGCAAAAGATTTTCATTCCAGGGCAATTCTTTTTGGTTCAGTGTTAGATTTGCTAGACAGAAATAATCAGTATTTTCATCTTTCACCTATTTTGCTTTTATTTTCTGGTAGATAAATGTATTGAAAAGACGAGCTCGGAAGTACAACATCCACTTGAAAACGTTACCTATTGGATTTTCAAAAAGGAGAGAAAATACAACCTTCTTCAATATTAGGTGAGTTTCTAATTAGTTTGAAGCATGGGAACGTTGATAAGAAAATCTTCCAATAACTGTTACACAAGCACTCCCTTCTCTAGTTTATTTGGCAGATCAAAGATTTTTCAAGGTCACATGCCACTTCTTCTGATTGACTTGTGTAAGATAGTAAATAGTGCATTGAAATATAAGTGTAGAGAGATCCTTGGGAAACATACTGACATGGTAGCAGCTGGTATCTCTTACAGCCCAGTAGTACTCAGTGCAGTTGCTTGTTCAGGTTCTTCAGTGATGATTTGTTCCCCAGACTTCAGCTGGTCCAAGTGTTCACTGAATGGCTTAATCAGAAAAAGAAGCACTTAAGTTATTAGCATGGCATCACACTATGATTGGTAATGCTAGTCAATGAAGCATTTTCTTTGTATTTGGGTTTTTTTTTCATAAGTAAGTTAAGTATAGGCTTTTACATGTGGACATAGATGTGGTAAAGGAATACAGCTTTTAATAAAAGTGGCTTTGCTTTGGTGTTTCCTTGCAGAGAATTCTTGGGTTTAACTTAATCTGGCAGCTTTGACAGCCATTGCTTTATAATAAAAGTTATCAGCATTTAACAGTAAGGAAATAATATACTGGTAAGCTCCATGTCTGTAATAAGGACTACTAATTTGCTTTCTGTTCAAAGGTACTCCAGGGTGAAAGAAATGCTTAAAGAGAAAAGGTGCCAATTGCTAAAAATCCCTCCCATTCAGGAAGGGCAAGACAGTGAATATAAATCTGGGTTATTACCAAAAGAAACACTTTCAAACATGTAATACTGTAAACACAAAACTACATGGGCTTGATAACGAGTGCTTTGGTGTGCACTATACATGCATATCCAGAGTTAATTTATGTCAGTGTTAATTCAGGGGGAAAATACCAGTAATGCTTTTAGCTTCTGTTAATAGCCATGTGGGGCAGTTATTTCCCTAGTGGTCCCTTCTTTCTTACCTGTCCTCCCTTCCCTACCTAGCTTTATTAGTTAAAAGTTAGGGAGGGGTGCTTATCATTGGTTTTGATCACAGTCTTGTTTTCAGAATGGTTTTCCTGTGCACCTAATCTCTTATTTATGGGTAATGAATAATTATCACATAGTCAAATTTTAGTGGCTAACCACTAGGTGTCTCTCTTGTAATAAATTAATGAGCAGGTTTGTAAAACAAATTAACAATCTAACTTCTTCTGTGCTAAAGCAGTTTGTTTCCTATTGGTGCAGAAACTTTCTTAGCAGAACCTAATGCTGTATCAGAAATTTTAGTTTTCTGCATTGTCTAACTTAAGTGACTGCCATGAAAACACACAGGAGAGGTTAAGGGGGAAAAGAAATCTCTCAAGTCATCATTAAGATTTCTTTTTGCTTTTTTACATGTGAGGAAACATCTCTGATTTCCTCGGGACAGACCACAGAGTAATCCCCAAATTCTGCTGACCTTGAGCCATCTGACTAGCACCACGAATGAAAGAGACCTGGAGATAATAATAGACCACAGTATGAATATGAGCTGGCAGTGAGATGCTGTAGCAAGTAGGGCAAATAATATTCTGGCATGCATCAATCTTACCACTATACTAGGGGAATACATCGAGGGCTTGGTAAGCAACTGTTCACTAGGGCACCCAATAGGAAAACTAGGAACAATGCCCACAAACTCCTGGAAGATGGATTCAGGCTCAACATTAGGAAAAAATTCTTCACAGTCAGGGTGTCCAGATTGTGGAATAAGCTCCCTCCAGAGGTGGTGCAATCATCTACCCTGGAAATCTTCAAGAGGAGACTGGATGTTCACTTTGCTAGGGTCACCTGACCCCCAGTTATCTTTCCTGCTTGGTGCGGGGGCTGGACCCGATGATCTTCTAAGGTCTCTTCCAGCCTTACAATCTATGAATCTGTGCAGAGGCTTTTTGCCTCCACCTTGCCTGTTGGCACATGATTTTCCTCTACCAACAGTAGAGGAACTTCATGGAGAGATGTGGAAGAAGTTCTGTTTCACTGAATTTCTGCTTCTGGGAATCCCCAAACTACTGATGAAATTACTTCCTTGAGGAATCTGCTGAGGGTTTTGTGAGCCCAGCATGTCTTCCCTGGAAGACTCACTGGAGATGTGGATGCAGGGGCTGATCTAGAGGGAGGGTAGGGATATGTCTGCACCCCGCTTTCAAACTGGGCTATGCTGTAGGAGCCCTTAGGTGAGCGTGCATCTGAAATGTGGGGGGGTGACAGAGTGGCCAGAACCCCAATACACGTGTGGAATAGGAAGGGTTCTTGTATCTGTGGGTAAGAATAGAGGGCATACAAGCTGCACAAATGAGGTCTCCCTTTTTGCTCAGCAGTGCAGAATACAGCCAGGCACAAACTAATGAGCTGCTCTTAAGTAGTGTGGCTTTCCACCTTTTTACCTTACAAAGATACTTTAACTTGCCTCTGCTAATACATGGCTTAAAGCAGATTGAATGTATTGCCAAATTGAATTGAATGTTCACTTTGGCTAATGTTTGTGAACTGAAAGGAATTTTAAATTATAGTGGGATTAGTATATGACTCGTAGGTAAATAGTTAAGCATTGAACTATTTTAGGTATTGTCAGGATAAAATGGAACAAGGCAATGGCCTGCTTTGTTCTGCACCATGACATCTTTTGCTTGGAAATGTTAGTCCTTCACTGCAGGTTTCTAATCTCTCCAGGGAAAGCATTGCCATCTGTTCTTTAATACCTAATAGAAAGTAGTCCCCTTTTTCCTGCAAATAACTTTGTAGATAGTGGGAATAACATGGATATGAAAGGTGGTTGTTTAAAAACAAAAAGTTTTAAGGTGCCATTTAGCTTCCACTGGGGGAAAGAAATGCATCCCAGGTGCCTGTTCCATCCATAATGGAGCAAGTGTTGCTACTTATCAAGGCTGAGCAGGCTGCCTTTTCTTGCAGGTTGTTATTCTCCTTTTATTAAATTAGAGTAATAGCTCAGTTCTGGGTGAGGGTGAGAACTACTTTTTGTTTAAAGGTTATCCTTTCATTGCTCTATAATCCACATGCTTTTTGAAAATTCTTTGCCTTGAAACTTAGTGAGCCTTAGGGAAGGAGAGAACAGAGTAGGTTGACTGATCTAAAAACTGGGGTAATTTGCACAAAATATCAAATGACGCTAAGATGATTGTCCTTCTACCAGAAAAATTCCAATAGTGTATGATGTTTGACAGATTCCACCACCCGGCAGAAGGGATGAGTGTGCCTACACAAACCTACAGTGCTAGCAAAAGCCTTCTCTCACTCAGAGAAGGGGCTCTGCCACTGCAAGGGCACTCTGCTTTGCTGGCAGAGTCTAAATTCTTCTGATAAAATTATGTAGTGTTGGCCAGGCATGAAGTCGCTTTAAGTTCAGTGTTTGACTGGAGAATCCATGTACTTAATACATTGTATCCCTCCATAGGATGCCATGCAAGGTTTTCAATCCAAATCTGGAGTCCTATGAACAAGAGATTCTGAAGGTTACATCCCCCTGGAGAAGGGGATTTTTTTCATGGTTGACAGATCTGTTTTTGTGCACGCCTGGGGAACCAAACTGCTGTGGACTTCATATAGTTTAGTTATTCAACTTTTATGCCAACTGTTGCAGAGTCATAACTTTGGTAGCTGGTGGTAAGCTAAAGTAGGTGATCTTTAGGGCTTTAGAAATGACATCAAAGGAATCTTCTCTGCTTCCTAGGTGCCATGATGCTGTCTTCTTTCCCCATTCTTCCCCAAAAAGAAGGCCTAAGTCAGTTGATATTTGGCTTTGATAATTAACTATTTGAGAATAAATGTTCTGTGGACTTTGAAATGGCAGCGATGCATGGCTAGATTCAGTGGAAATCACATGTGATCCTGGAAATTATGGCTGGAGATCCTGTTGTTATCCATGTTTAAGAAGTCAAGTTATGCTTTGCTTTATTTTCACTCATACTGTCCAACACCCCTTACATTATGCTGGTAGCAGCATGCTTCAGATTTCCCAGGAGTACATACTCAACCACTTTTAAAATAATGAAAAAGTACTATATTTAAATAATGCTAAGATGTACACTGTGCTCAAAAATGCAAAGATATTTTGAGCTAAATGTATGCTTTCAGGGCTGATGAACCTAAATCTGTGTGTGCAGCTTTGCTTTTTTGCTTACTATCTGGGCCGTATCACAATGTGATTTTTTTTTTTTTCCCTCTGCTCACAAGAATGGAAGAAAGGTAGTTGAATTACTGGAATGTTGCTCTCAGATGATCTGAGAGCAGGACTAGTGCATTGTAACTTAGTAGCTCATAAAAATGAAGGGGCATCTTATCAATGCGAGGTAAAGTTACACCCAACTGAAGCACTTGTTATACTGGTTTACTAAAGATCTTTTAGGAACCTGGATGCTTTAACTCTCATAGCAGCTGATGAATGACTTTCCTCTTTTCTGATTCTGTGAAATAATTTTTGTTTCTTTTTTGTTTCAGGGGGGAGGGAGAAGGGTTAAAATTTGGGTTACTTAACCTTTGTTTCTGCAGAACGCGTCAATCCTAACCTGCATTGCAGTATATATGGTTAGTAAGGTGTCCTGCTGTCCTGAAGCCATGGAAAACCATTTGCCTTACAAAGGAAATGCACTTAGTGCAGTTGGAGACTAGTTCAGCTTTCAATCGATATAACACAACTTTATTGTTTAAACATTGAATCTCAGCTGGAAATTAGTTACGCTTCAACAAAGCAGGGGTCCCTTCTGTTGTCTAATATCATTAGAACTGTAGCTGTAATACTAGCGTAAAACAGGGTTTCTTCATATTAACTTTTAAACTATTGCTCATTTGTTTTAATGAGAGTTCTGAGTTTTACAAGAGAATCCAGTCACTTACTTGGACTGGACATTTGCCTAAATCAGGTTAGGGCACTCTGATCAAAAGAAGTAGACACTTAACCCCCTACTCAAATTAAGCTGCACAGTTGTGAGCAAGGTAGGTCATGACAGTG